ACACATTTGTTGAAGTAGTTCCCTTGACTGCCGCGGGAAAATTCTTCTCTCCCCGTCAGCCTGTAGGTTTGCCAAACGGGTTTACTGTTTCGCCAATTGGCGCTTTTCTGTACATTTTTAAGTCCGTATCGCCTGTTTGGCGCTGCCCTGAAAGTTATGCACGTCTCCTTTTTGTCGAGCGTTACTTCAATTCTTACCAACAGGCAAGACAGCCCTCTTCTATAAAGCCAAAAAATGGAAGGACGTCCTGGTCAGTAATGGCTAAAGCAAGTTCACGTTGAGAAAATTTTGAAGGTCAGTCACGCAGAAAACCTGTACCAAAAGATACAATCGAAGCAGTTGCCACGGCGATTGTCGACAGAGGACCAGACAATATTGCTACCACCTCTAGCGCTCGTGGAGTAACTCGGAATATGGATATGCCTTACAGTACGGTATGGAAAATCTTACGAAAGATGATCAACTTCTATCCTTGCAAGATCAGCCATGTACAGGAGTTACTGTACCCCCGACCATGATAAGCGATTGACTTTTGCTCTCACCTTTCTTGCCAGAATGGTGGTGGATGATGCTTGGCCGTGGAAAATCTTATGGGGAGACGAGGCCTACTTTTACCTGAATGGAACTGTGAATACCCAGAACTGCCGAATTTGGGATGACAAATCCCCACATGCAGTCACAGCAGTTCTCTTACACTCACCAAAGGTAACTATTTGGTGTGGGTTCACAGCGGAATTTATCGTAGGTTCATTCTTCTATGAGAACATTACCCCAACAGGACCGGAAACCTGTTCTGTTACGGGAGAGAAATATCACCACATGTTGAACAGCTTTGTCATTCTGGCACTTCAGCAAAGACAATGCCTGGGGGGAATTATTTTTATGCAAGATGGAGCCCCTCCACAAGTTGCTGTATGGGTGCAACAGATGCTACGACAGAAATTCACAACAGAAAGTCATTAGCCGCTACTTTCCAACTGCATGGCCACCTCGGTCGCCTGATCTTACCCCATGCGACTTCTGTCTATGGGGTTACCTTAAGTCCAAGGTCTATCAAGGAGTGGTCCAGGACCTGGCTACGTTGAAGGATAACATATCACGGACTGTACGGAAGATTCCTGCAGACATGATACTTTCTGCTGTTGTGCATACTGTGCACAGAATGCAATATGTGGTCCGCAACAACAGCAGCCACACTGAACCTCATTTGAATGCAAAATAAAAGGTAATTTCCATATTGATTTGCATTTGTTAACACTCTACTTTCTATTACACAGTGCCAAATATTCCTCTAGCGGTGACTTTCGAAACTAATTTTTTTTTTTTTTTGCAGAATCCTTCATCCCCTGTCTTGTTTAATCTTCCTACAAAATGTGGCATTATTCTCGCAAATAGATCGCGCTACAGAGCACTGTCAGTTTAATTATGGCCACCTGGTATATCTTAATACTACTTTTTTAACATGTTCATCACTTCATCACCTATATTTGGGTGAGGGGTATGCTTCTGTGGAGGCCCAGTCACCCAGATACACATGACGCTCTTCTTTTCAAGTTAAACAGAATTTTCAGTTGGATTTTTAAAAGGAATTTTATGGAATAAGTATTGAAATATAAATATAGGACATACAAAATAAAAATTATAAAATTATGCACATTATACTACATTTTTATTAATTTATACACTGGTTATCATAAATTAAGGAAAAATCAAAAATAGCGATAACTCCCTCAAAAATAAGCCAAACCGTGTAAAATTTGAATATGTTGCCAAGTAAGAGTAGCTGAGTAAAACTGCAATAAATTAGTGGCGCTGCAATCAGAATACGTCATCTGCGAGGAGAATAAAAGTCCATGTTTGAGAGCAAGCCCACATATTTCACCGTGATAATGACATCAGAAATCTGAGATAGCCTATTCGTAACAATGACCTCCAGGCATCATTTGCCTGCAGAACTTCGATAGAGAGCCATTGGGAGACTAGAGGCAGGACAAAGTCAAGCAGAAGTGGCCAGATGGCTAAATGCGAGACCTTCTGTGGTTCATAGACTTTGGAGGCAATTTCAAATCACAGATTCGGCACCTAGGAGGTTCAGCTAAGGACGGCCAACTGCTACGACAAGCGCTGATGACCGATATTTGACATTATGTACACTCAGGAATAGAACCCGCTACTCTGACTCTTCTTAGATCCTCCCTTGCTGCAGCCACCGGAAGGTTGGTGTCAGCGTCAATTGTGCGTAGAAGGCTTCACGAAGGTGGTCTGTATGCGAGGCAAACAACTATTTGCGTGCCACTCAAGTCACGCCATAGGACGAACCATTTGCAGTGGGCACAACAACATGTCCACTGGACGCCTGAGCAATGGAGGGCTGTTCTCTTTACGGATGAGTCCAGGCTTAGTCTAGAAAGTGATAATAGGCGTTATTTGATATGGAGAGAACCTGGAACCCGTTATCATTAGTCAAATATCCATGAAAGAGATGCAGCGTCTGTTGGGGTGGCATCTCTTTGGGTGGACGCACAGACCTCCATATCTTTCCAACGGAAACCGTGAATGCTCCGGTTTATAGAGATGACATCCTTGATGCTTATGTGCGCAGACAATAGGTGATGCTTTCCTGTTACAGGATGATAGCGCAAGACCACACAGGGATCGCATCGTAGATGATTATCTTCAACTGGAAACAATTATGCGCATGGAGTGGCCAGCTCGAACCCCGGACTTGAATCCCATCGAGCACGTTTGGGATGCTTTAGGGAGATGTCTAGCTGCTCTCAATTCACCTCCTTAGACCATTGCCGTGCTTGCAACTGCTTTGCAAGAACGATGGATCTCGCTTCCTATGGAACTGATAGACCGCATAATTGAAAGCATCACACATCGCTGAATGTGCTGTATTGCTTCTAGAGGAGATTATATTTTCCATATTGAAGGGACTTTTTCTATAGGAAACTGACATCTTCGATTTGTTCATTTTGTACATGTGCTAATTTCTATACTACCATTATTGTCTGGTAATTTCTTTTTATGTTATTTGATACCTTACTATGTGTTGTATATTGTGGGTAAGTTTCATAAAATTCTACATGTAACGTTTTCAGTAATCGTGATTTTTCCCTTAATTTATGATAACCAGTGTATTTAGGATAAAACATTACATTATACTATGTTGCATGGTATTCATTAAAACGATCTAAACACATTTGAGATTATGGACAATTGGAATAGGCTTTTTTTTAAAACATTTTTCATCGCTTCTTGACATTTGACAGTTTGCCTCTTCTTTTTGTCACATACGGTGTACATCCTTCTCATAGGCTTGTCCTGCTGATTCTTACAAATCTTTAAAAGATGAAACACCTTTTTTCGTTTTGTTTCTATTATTGTTGGGAACAGTGTTTTCAAGGACAACCATTTGGTAATAAGAAGTTCCCGAAATGTTCTTATCTTTATTTTTTATTTGTACCTCTATGGTACACGATATAAGCATTTACTATAGCTGTTCCTAAAGGTAATTGTAGTGCTAATTTCTGATACCACTTGATGCTTTTCCATATTATTACGACATATGGATCCTGTCAAGACCAATTTTTCCATTATTATATGCCATTATCGTCAAAGGTTTCTGTTGTGAAGGATGACCGCAATGAGTAGAATCCGAGCTTGAAGTCATAATGGGTGCATGTTTTATTGGTAATATTCTAACATCACAAATATCTCTCCGTTTTAGCACCACAATACTGTTAACTTCTCATGCTATAATTTCACCTCTCTTCAAAGAGTACAACGCTACAAAACTTGATATATTTTCCCCTTTGTGCCATACAGTTCCATTAACATGCCTCTTAAAAATTTGATTGCTAATTCATAGCTCATGTTAAAGCTATCAACAAAGTTCATCCCTCATTTAGTAATTTATCTGCAAGTTCAATGCAGATGTCTTCGGATATGGCAGCTTGCTTTCTTCCACTGGTATCTCGTCCTGAATATATTTTCGTATACTTCATGGGAACACAGTTTGAATAGTTTTATACCATACTTGTGCAATTTCATTGCCATGTGCTGCCTGAATATTAGTCATTGCCTCCAAGGAACCTACAGTCGGATTTGGGCCCTGCACTCAATCACACTGGGCAACGAACATGTTAATGCATCCTTCATTCCTATTGTTTCTGCGCTGAATTAAATTTTTTTCCCCTACCATTAAACATTTCAAAGTTCCTGAAAGCTGTTTTCGTGTACATCTTCTTCCACAGGTTTGAAGAATTATAACAACAAAATATTTTAACATTAAATAGTATTATTTATAGTAACACTACAGAAGAAAAACTTTAAAAATGCAGTAATGAACAGAAGCAATTCATTTCCATCTAAAATCTGAGTCAATAAAAGTTCAGATTTTATACTTTTGATAATTTCTAAATTTCTGCCAAATTAATGAAAAATACAAGTTCCAAACTGCTGAATTTAAATTTCTCAGCAATAATATGATAAAATAATAGTCTAATTTTCAGATCTAAAAATATGTCATTCATATCTAAAATAAAAACTAACATCCATTGTAGCATTGCACCGATATTCATTACAACATTCTTCTACTTCATATTTAACTATAATATTCAAAATTTAAAACAAATGTTAAACAGTGACACTAAATATGCATTACTTGCTCTACATCTACATTAACACAAAATAATTGCTTTGTTTAAAAAAGTGCTTTTTACATTAAAACAACATATTAACTATGTACAGTAGTACATAAGCTATTATTTAAGCTGCCTTAACTAATATTATTCTGCAGTTACACTGCCTGGCCCAAACTGTAAGGAAAAAAGGGGGGAAGAGATAGGGGTTAGGTTCTAAAGAAAATTTTCAAGCACTTTCCTTACACTTTCATGTATCAGATTGTCCCTTTATGTTCAAAAGACAACTAACTAAAAAAGATTCATACAGCAACATATAACTACAATAACTTTTATGCTTAAGCATGTACTTACTGTTGCAATCATCTTCCTTTTTCAAACACGTTATACCTTCACCAGAATCTTCAGAGCAGCATGCACCCTCTGCATAAAAAATAAAAATAGAATAATACATTGCATTTGCTGAATGTAGAAAATACTAATAATGCAAACAACTATGAGACAAAAAATACTTCTCATATTATTCACAATATTTTCATAAAATACTGATTCTACACTCCGACAAATGAATTTTGGATTGGACTGTTATTTTTTATTTATACCAAAGCACACGAGCTACCAGCTTAAACTATAACCCAGTTTTGGCCAATAGTATATCAAAAGCTTGGAATATGAGCTCTTTCACTTCCATATACAGCTCTTTTCACTTCCATCGGACTCTCTATAGAACAATTAATTTTAAGTGCCAATTCTACAAAGATACTAACTACTGTTACAAATATCTATGCCATATACAAGATAACCAATTCTAGTGGTGATCCAATCAGCTAGCATCTACTAGCATATATCAGTAATTTCCAACCTGGTGGGTGCAAATATATATTATATATTTTGTTCAGAAATAAAAGTGTTTAATCACCATGACGGTTACATTTGATAGCAACTCTGTAGTTATGCTCTCACCATCAAGAAACTCAGCCATAACTAGAATTATCTGTGTTTTCTTTACATTTAAATGCTATATATGTGTGTGTGTTATACAAGAGTTGCTCAAACGAAAAGTGGATAAGTTGACTAAAAAGAATACCTTTATTGGAAATCAAAAGAAATTGGCATGGGTGTTGTAACACAAGTCCCATCTTTCAGCCGCCGGTCTACGCCTTTGCTGCAAAAAGATTGTGGTTGATGTTTGAGGAAGTCCTGCACATCTTCCTTCATTTTAATGTCCAAATGGAAATGTTTCTCCCGTAATGCTTTCTTAAGTGGCCAATAGCTGTGGAAATCATAGGGTGATGAATACGGACAGTACGGCGGATGTTCCAACAGAATTTGTTTAAGGTCGTCCGGGTTTTACGGAATACGTGTGGGTAGACATTGTCATACAAAAGGATCATTTGCTGTGTGAAAAAGCCTGGCCATTTGCTTTTGATTGCTTTCCGTAGTTTTGTCAAAGTACTGCAGTATTGTGTTGAAATGATATCTCTTCCTTGGAGCAAGGTATCATTCAAGAGTGGTTCAAGGCAATTGAAAAAAAAAAAAAAAAAAAGAAAGCATAACTTTCCAACTATTTTTCATCATTGTCGCTTTTGATTTCCTTGGTGGAGATGATGTGCGTCTCCACTGTATGCTCGTTTTCTTGGATTCGGGTGGGTAGTGGTGACACCAGGACTTGTTACCTGCAACAATGCCTTCCACAAATGCGAGATCCTCCTCACAATGGATCAAGTGCTACAGACAAGCCCATTTGTTGTTTCTCATAATTAAGAGTAAGAGGTTTTGGTATCCATTCTGCACACACTTTACTATACTGCAGACGCTAGAGGAGGAGGAGAATGTGAACCATGCCTTTACTCAGGTTGAGTTCATTACTGATGTCACCGGTCCGAACTCCTCTATTAGCTCTGATATTTCATCAACGGCAGCAATGGAGTCATTGGTGATCATGCATGTTTGCTTGGCACGATCTAAGGCAGATCCGACACTGTTTGCTGTCTTTCATGAAAACTTTTACATTAATTGTTCACAGCTATTCGACCTAAAGCAGTGCTCAAAACAGACTGCCACCATTCACTGACAGATGTCCGAATTATGCTCACCTTCTGCAATTAAAAAACCGTATTATACTGCAAGGTGTTCCAATCTGGACGCATCCATATATAGCACGACTTTACTTTCGATCAATTTCCACTGTCGAATGCAGTATGTGTAGTACACCTCAAACACTTTATATTCAGTGGCACTGCTATAGCTGCAGTCATTCTAACACAATGGCACATATCCAATTTTCATTTGAGCAGTCCCTATATATAAACACCGTTTTTTTAAACTGAACTAAAATAATGCACAGGGTATTTTTGGATTATCTGCACACCACTCCAAAAAGTCACTGGCTCATTAGCAACTAATTTTTCACCAAGCTCATACATGAACAACAGTAATTCTGAAAATGGCAGTGCACTAAGACGTACTTAAAATAGAAATGAATAAATAAAATTTAAAAATAAACAACAACCATAACAGCAAAGCTGCTGTTTTTCCATAAACACAACTATCTGTTTTTGATTAAAAAAAATAAGAGAATTGGGCATTTTTGTCATCGGCAAAATTACCGTTTTGAAGAAATGAAATGCTTTCTTTTTCAGCCGATAAAGTTTCTAGTCCCATTATGGTGCCTTAAGAAAACAAAATATGCACTAATTGTAAAAAAAAAAAACAAATGCTAATGACCAACAATATAAAGGTAGAACCACTCTCATCTGCTACATGCATGTATACTTTAGTTGCCCCATAGCTACATTTTGGAAACATCATGATATACCTAATTTGCAAGTGTGTTACCTCGGGAATATTTTTCATGGGGATGCAGTTATTCAGAAAGTACTTAAAAGTAGTAAAAATTTACTAAAGTATTTAAAAAATATGTGTTGAAAAATTATAAATTAATAAAAACGCTGATAAATAATAAAACTATGCAAGCTGAATTTATGTGACAAAAACATATGTATATAAATTACTGAATAAATCCAAGTTTTTATACATTTCACTAAAACGAAATTGTATGCACGCAATGTCTCTCCCTTTTTAAAACATAAAACTTACCTTATTTACTTGGTTATTAAAGTATTAATAGACTAAGAATGGGTAAATAACAAAAATAATTTCAGAGTTATCAATGCACAGACCTAAAATGACCGAAACTAAACAGAAATCAATCTTTTAACATTCTAGGCTACCGAAAGAATCATCAGAAACTTTACAATAAAATCACCCTTAATACTGTCCTCCCTTTGCATATAGCATACATCATGAAAATGCAGCACTCATTAGTAGCTTACAAGAAATTTACCTATTTAATAAATTTACACAATGATCTTTCAAATACAGTTTACACCATTTTTTAAATATATAGATGCTTTTGAAAGTCCAATTTGCATTTCTCTTTCCCTTAAAAATGAGTAGATTAAATCTGATTAAATTTTCATTTTTTTAAAACCTTGTAAAAATAAGTAACATCCTAAATTTAAACTTAAATTTGTTAGCATAACCAGAACATTACCATATATATTATAACTAGAATACAGAAGAAATCAATGTACAATATGCTAATAAATATTATAACTTTGCATTGCTGCATGAGTCATTTCTCAATGCACGAGTCTGTCATGTTTTTTGATAGTTTCGAGATGATGAAAGCAAACAAAAAAAAAAAAAAAAAAAAAAAAGCCATAGGGGGCTAAAAATTAGCAATAGTATAGATTTAAGCAAACTGATGATTGTGTTCATTCAACAAGGAGATGTTTTACTTAGTGCTGAACTAAAATTAAGAACCAATACATTTCACATGCTTTATTATGAAAAAGTTTGTACTATGTGAGCATTAAACATATACCAAAGTGAGACACTTCTTTCAGAATCTTTTTTTTCCAAAAAATTAAAAATAAATAAATAAAAATTGCTGGTCACCTAGAGGTCCAGATATAAGATCATTCCAGATATTAGATGCCCAAGTTTCAGACTTTGTAACATATTTTTTAATGGGAATTACCATTCTAAAGAGAGAAGTCACAGTTACGTTATTAAAGAGAACAAACAGCAACTCAATGCGGGTACAGACAGCTGCGGTTTGATAAAATTCTTTCAGATATGAAGAATAAAATGCTTTGTACCTTCAAACTAATAAATACATAATTATTATATTATAAACTGTTACTCTTTACTTTCTTTTTAAAACACATAATTTTTGTTTAGAATAGATTGCTGTTTAGAATATGAACTTTTCATCATCTGACAGGAATGATTTGAATTGAATTTTTTTTCAACTGATTGGAAAAGTTCTAGATTTTCCCTAAATTCCTAAAAAAGTTCATGTTTTCTCTTCCTTTCCCTAACCATTTTTCATTTGCCTGACTTTCCAAGTGAGTGAGAACCCTATAGTATAAAGATACCATTTTAAAATATAGCATTTAAAATATGGGATGTCTATATATAGATACAGTACAAAGTCTTTAATCCGGACGTCCATAATCCGGACCTCAAAGCTACAAACTATCTGCGCACACGTACACGCATAATTCGTTTACGCATGTGCATAATACGTTTACGCATGCACGTTTAATGTAAAACGGACGGTATAAGCTAGGCTAAAATTATCTATTTCAGTTAATGTTGCAGACTGCGTTGTTCCTTAATCTTCTAATTACATCCGGCTTATTATTTTTTGCAGACTGTTAGAGCAATTTTATAAAAAAGTAAGCTTGAACTTTCGATTATGTCAAAAAGAGTTTCCGATTCTAGAGCTGCCATATTCTACAAAGCGAAAACATGTTTTGATATACCGCTTCCGATAGTGAAGAAAGTGACAGATTGGTTATTGAAAACGAAAAAATTTGAATTGACAAGTTAGTCGGTATTCTCGACACTGCAATTACAGGACTTGAACAGTGGAACTGAACAGGAAATTATGTCTGTTTTATGGAATTAAAGAGAAAGTATTAGCACAAAAAATGAAGCAACTTAAACAACTTACATTGAAAGAAATATTTAATAAAGTAAACAAATAAATATTACACTTTTTTGTAAATTTTGATACCCTTTAGATCATAATTGCTCTTTATTTCATAAATTACAGTTTCATATTTTTAATTTTATAATTTCTGCATGCCATCTTACCAGATTTAAATTGATGATCTATAATCCGGAAAAACCCCTAATCCGGAATCACCGAAGTCCCGACGAGTACGGATTAAAGACTTTGTACTATATACATATGGCAACAAACACCGAGATAATTCTTCACAGAACAAAAATTATACAAGGAATAATAATAAAATTCAAGTGCAGCCCAGCTGGTATAGTGGTTAGAGATCCCGACTGCCATAGATTTAAAATTTATTCTTTAATATGGAGTAGGCAGTGCAAGACCATGCTGATTTGTTTTCTACCTCTTCCTGTAAAAGCAGCTGACTAAATGACACTAATGCATAAAATAAAAATTAGTCTATAATAGCCCACAGGAAAGGTTAACGGAAGGTCAATATTCTCTAAAACCTTGTACATTCAGTGGTGCTGATCAAGGTCTTCCAGCCTTAAAGGCTGCTTCCGCAAATGCAAAATCTGCCTTTCACTGCACTACACAACTATTTTTTTTTACAAAACTTAAACATGTTGTACACATATAATTTCCATGAATCTTTTATTTACTGATACATATACAGATAGATATATTAAGCTTTCAAAAATTTACTGCAGTTTAAAGCAACATATATTTCCGAGTGCAGCATCAAGCAGCTGGCACAATAACTGCAATACTAATTAAGCACCAGTTATCCTTAAATAAACATATCTTCAACCTTCAGTTTATTCAGTGCTTTGGGGTTAATTTATTATTAACAACGTTTAATATTCATATGTATAATAAAGTTAATTATAAGAAAAATACCTTTTTACATATACATGTTTGATGCTTACCAATTATCCACAACCTTCCCTCTGGAAAGTATTCACGAGGCAATACGCTAATGTCGACAAAACAGGCAATACACGAAATCATCAAATGACTTTATGTGCCAACTCAGGTATGTATACACATGAAGCAGATGAGCAGCAGACATTAGTGTTTGGTTTTGTTGCACTGAAGACAGTTGTTAGCAGTTCTCAGAATTAACTGTTATTTGTAATATTGTTTTGCTGCACTGAGTGACTTCTTTTTTTCCCCTTGTAAGGAATCATAACTGGACTGTGGAGTTTGCCAGCTAACGAAAATGAATGCACTGCCATTTCTTCAGAAATACAGCTTTTCCCCCCTACAGTACAGAGTACAAAAATTCACACTCTATGAAGCTTTACTTGGTAAACAATCCAATTGTACGGATCAAAATTTAAGCACTGATGCGAATTTGTGCAATTCTCTGATTTCTTTAAGTGGAAACAGATTGCTGTGTACAAGGGCAAACAACAGTGTGTGTCAAATTCGTGCAATTGTCTGATGTTTCCTAAGTAAAAACAGATAGAAAGAATCACAGGATGCACAGTGCCAAGTTGTGCCATGATGTGTTGTGCATGAGTTTCTGAAATTCTGATTTTATTAAGCTAAAACAGATTGCTGGGTACACGGGGAAAACAGTGCCAAAAAAAAGGCGTTTTATTATGAATGTTTCTCGCATTTTTAATTTTGTTACTTTGTTGCTGTTTTAGGCAATTCTTAGTGTGTTGCCATTTTTGAAAATGACTGTTTTCTTTCACATCTTGGTTTTGTGATAAATAGATTGTTAAAAGTTGGTGACTTTATGGGAGACGGCTGCGGATATCAGAACATCAGGGCGGCGAACATCCATTTCCTACAATAAAACCAGGAAGTAAAATTGACAATGCTTTCTTGCTAGTTAATCTTTTAATTTTTCAGAGCCAAAATCTCTTGATAATATAGAAATTTATCAATAAATAAACAAAAGGCCTTTTCAAAACTAGCAACTTATTACTTGCAAGAAATGGCCTCAGAAAAGCTTCAAAAGCTGAAATAAGAAAATAATTTTCTGTATTAAAAAATTCAATACCTATGAAGTTACCCAACATTTTAAATTCAGTAATAACAGAGTGAAATTAATTCTTCCTACCTAAAATATGTAGCTGTGAGAAGAAACATGCTAAAAAATTTGTTAAGGAACATCTTCCCAAAAAAGTTATAACACAAAAAAATTTGGAAAATACATGATAAAGTTTTGGAACACAGATAAATTTTAGAATCTGTATTTTTAAACCGATACTAAAACTATACAGTATAAAGTCTGACATTTGAATGTCCAATATCCAGAATGATCTAGTATCTGGACCTTCAGACCACAGACATTTCTTTTTCAAAACTGTTTTTGCGATAAGGAAGAAAGAATTAAATTCTGAAAATAGCACCTTGTTTTATATGCTTAATGCTTCACACATGTGAAGTAAGCACTTTTTGATAACAAAGCATATGGAGGATCCTAATTCCTTATTTTACTTTGGTAAAAAACACTCGCTTATTAGCACAAGTCTGTATTATCAATATTTTGTCACATTTTTTGCTTGGTATCTCAAACCGAAATATTTCTACCAAAGTTCATCACTCATTTTACACTTATTGAATAACTTATATCCCTCATGCCAATGTGGTGAATCATTTCCATTATTTTTTTTTATTCATAACCATATGACAACCAACTAATGGCAACTTGAGAAATGACTCATGCAGCGATTCTAAAACATCACTCTAAAATTTCTTTCTATGTGCAAAATATAGATTTTGCATAAGAAATATGCTAAAAGATTACAGTTAGCACATTTCAAATATGAATAACCAACTTGTTCAGATAAGCCTTAATTGTATGTGGAATTTATTTATTTAGAACTTGGATAAACCTTAAGCATATGCGGGTTTGGTTTATTGAGAATATGGCAAAGCACACTAGAGCTATCTGCCTAAGGGCAGGGATGCCTTTGAGTAGGACTTTCTAAGGGAACTGGCTCGTATACACGTTACAAATGGGAAAAACCACGGAAATGGCCATGCAGCCAGCCTGTTCACAGGATTCGAACCTCGGACCGAACTAGCAGTGTTCAGCGATTTTACCACTCGGCCACCGGTGGGCCTTAAGCATATGCGGGAAATAGACATAAGTATAATAAATAAACAATATAACTTAGGCTAACTTCAATGTCCAATAGAAGCAAGACAAAATTTAATAGAACAAAATGTCTTAGTTAGCTAAGCTTTACAATGATAGCCACATTTTGGAATATCACAAATAAAAAGCAAAATTTTCAGTTTAATGGAATTTGGATTAATGCAGAAAAATGATACAACAAAATTCTCAATTGCAATAACAAGAACCTAATAATCAATCACTGCAGGTGAAATCTGTAATATGATTCTGATTGCTGCCAGTGGTGATTAAAATGACAAAGAAATATTGAGAATGAAAAAATTTCAATTGACAATTTAGTGGAAATTCTCAACATGACAATTACTGGACTTTAACAATGGAACTTTGTAACTGAACAAGAAATTAAGTCTATTTATAGAATTAAAGAGAAAGTATTAGCACACAAAAAAAAAAAAGAAGAAAGAAAGAAAGAAGCAACTTTAAACATACATTGGAAAAAAAAAGTGCTTAATGAAACAAATATTAAGCTTTTTAATTTGTTTTTATTTTCTATTTATATAGATTTTGATACCCTTAAGGACATAAATACTTCATTATTTCATAAACAATTTCATCATGACATCTCACTAGATTTAAAATCCAGAATCATCAAAGTCCCAATGAGTCTGGATCTCAAGCTTTGCACTGAAATTTTCAAGCAGTTTTCCCAATAGTTCCTACACAGATTTTACTTTTGGTGGTTTCATTATAATGACTTTTAAATTTCAGAAAAACAAAACATGAGCAGAAGATTAATACTAAATGATGCATTAATCGTTTAGGCAGAATAGGGAGGGGAATACAAATGAATTTGTGGCAAATTCCTTACAACAAAAGCATATGATTCACATGTTATTAAATAAACATAATTAATTTCTAAATGAATCTAAAAATTTACATACCTGTTGATTCAGGGCAAAAAACATGATTAGAAATATTGAAGCAGGCCTCACAAGTCAAATTACTGCAAGTAACTGAAATAAATTAAGAGTACAATATATAATATATAAAAAATTATAAAAAGTTCAAACCTAAGCAACTGACTTACAAGAGTTTTCATTAACAAGCATACTATGCAAGCTACAGTTCGATCATCGCAAACGCAATGTTGACAGGCATTTTGCCAAAAATTATATATCATATATATATGTAAGAAAAATAAAGAATATGTAAAAGATTAAATTAGCAGCGTAAATTAATTTCCTTTCTCTATTCTAAAAATAGCAACATCTATTTGCACTGCATCATTTCAAGAAAAATCTATGTCATATGATTCTTACGTAATTCTGGCAATGTAAATTGAACTAAAACTCAAGCAGCCAATAATAATTTTATGGCAAAAATTACTATACAATCAGAATGCTTTGAGAACCAAAACTAACACAGTCTGACTTGAGATTTCATCCTGAACATTACGCACTTGCTTTCTATGCTTTGGCCTGGCCGCACTGCAGTCTGTCTGCTCTTTCTTATTGCAAATTTATCTAAAATGTAAAATCTCCTGGAATAGGCACAATTAATGTGCCAACTTGATTGTCACCGCAACATGTTTGCTATAATAAAAAATGAAGATTTAAATCTGCCTTCGCCTCCAATTTCCTAGTCATTATGGATCAACATTTGTACGCTATCGAAATTCTTGCTCTCCAGTTACTTCTTTGTTTTTATTACATATACAGTACAAAGCTTTTAATCCGGACTCATCGGGACTTCGGCGATTCCGGATTAGGGGTTTTTCCGGATTATAGATCATCAACTTAAATCTGGTAAGATGGCATGCAGTAATTATAAAATTAAAAATATGAACCTAATTTATGAATAAAGAGCATTATGATATCTAAAGGATATCAAATTTTACAAAAAAAAAAAAGGCTTAATATTATTTGTTTACTTTATTAAACATTTCTTTCATTGTAAGTGTTAAGTTGCTTCATTTTATGTGCTAATACTTCTCTTTAATTCTATAAAACAGACATAATTTCTTGTTCAGTTACAAAAGTTCCGCTGTTCAAGTCCTGTAATTGCTGTGCCGAGAATACCGACTAACTTGTCAATCGAAATTTTTTCGTTTTTCTTAACCTCTCTGTCACTTTCTTCATGCCGCCTTTATCCACTTTTTGCAGCAATTTCACTTTTTGTTTGATGGACATCGAAGCATGCTTTCGCTTTATAGATCCTTTGGCAGCTCCAGAATCAGAAACTCTTTTTGACATAATCAAAAGTTCAAGCTTACTTTTTATAAAATTGCTCTAGCAGTCTGCAAAAAATAATAAGCCGGATCCAATTAAAAGATTAAGGAACAAAGCAATCTGCAACAGTAACTGAAATAGAAAATTAGATAATTTTAGCCTGGCTTATACCGTCCGTTATACATTAAACACGCATGTGTAAATGCATTATGCACATGCGTAGAAAGTTTGTAGCTTTTAGGTCCGGATTATAGATCATTCCGGATTATGGACGTCCGGATTAAAGACTTTGTACTATATATATTATTAATTACGTGCTGCAAGATGAGGGGCACATGCAAGAGTTCACGCTCCACTAGAAAGAGATAATATACTTCTGAAGGAGAGAAAGTGCCCGTCATTGAGGTATCTTGTCATCAATTGTCTTCGTGCCTTTGCTTCGTATTTACAGAAATAAAGGCAAAGATTTGCACTGATTGCAAAAAAACAAAAATGTTCAAAATTTCCTAATATATGAATTTTACATGAACAGTGAATATTCCATTACTTAGTTTTAGAAACAGTAGCATCTAAAATAATAAAACATTTTTTAATGGAAGAATTCTTTTGTAGTTCAAAAAAGTTTAACAGGTTTCTACCCCATTTGAGCAGAATATCTCCAGTTGAATTAGCATGACATTTGCCACTATTGTGATACTTTTATACAAGAAATTTTCTGTTCCCTTTTCTAAAATTTGTCTCCCCTCCCCCAAATGTGTAAAACGATGAGCATAGCTTTCATGCAAAAATCAAAAAGGAAGGTAATTACTATTTATCATAATATAATTATTATAATTATAACTATAACAATCATTTATCATCTTTATTAAAACTCCCCCAATATATGAATCCCTAGCAGCCTATTTACTCAACCAATTGATATTAAATTTCAGATATTATTACCCTTTGTGGAACAGTGTGTCCGGTCCGGACACACCTAAAAAATTCCTTCTGTACGCACAGAAAAATTGAATTAAAAAGGATTATAGTTACACTGAACCTTTTCTATTAGTAGATGGGCACCACCAAACCAGTCCATATATTTAGCCATGTTAGTTTTTTTAAGACCATCATTTTTCAGAGAAATCTTCCAGATTTTTTTAGGGTATAAAAGGAGTTGTTTGAAAAGAAATTTCTATGTCATTTCTTTGGCTGCATGCTAATCTCCTTATTCTATATTAGTTTTAAATTTTTACCTTGAAATCTTGCCTAAAACCAAACGGCGAACCCTAGGTGTGCCCAGAGCAGGCTCACCGATAAAGGACAACTGAGAGTCTGTATTCTTTGTTTCTCCGCATCTCATCGGCCAGTTCATTGACAACAATGCTCGTTTCAGCGCTCTTTTCGAAGCTCTATTCAACCGATGTGCCACTTTGGGCACACCCACAGAATTAAAACGATAAGTGCTATCTTCACAAAATTTTACTTGTGTACTCCTCTAGGCGTAATTACACTGCCTACCTTTTTTTTTTTTAATCAAAACTCCGACTTTAAAAGGTAGTGTGCCGGAAAGGGTTAAATCTTTTTTGGCATTGTCTACTATTGCTATAGAATGCCATCGGAATTTTACTCTTTAATTAATTAAAATACACCTAATTAATTTAAAATGCAAATTTATGTACAAGATCAAATGGTTAAAAGAAGAAAAGAAATCACGTATGCTGCCGAACGGTTTTAATAAAATGTTTTGTGGGTGCTAAAATTTCAAATTTGCTTTTTGAAAAAAAAAAAAAAAAAAAAAAAAAAAAAAAAAATGAATAAACGACAAATTAATATTATTAATTATAAATGTTCAGTTATTGATTATAAATCTTTGAGAAATCTATTATTAATTCATATATTAAAATTATTTTGAACATGTTTTACAAAGATTTTAAATAAAAGCTTGTAATTTATGTTTATATTAACCAATTGTATTGCACTAGGTTTTATTTTATATATATATGTGTGTGTGTATATTGAAATTCAGTAATAAAATTTATAAGAAATTTGAATGATTTTATGACCATTTAGACAGTTTATATTCTTTAATCTGCGTTTTCTTAGTTTGCATATTTATCGATAAATCCTTTTACTTAAAGTCCTAAAACTTATATAGATATTGACTAAATTATTTACTATGTTTACCGCTTATTTAAAATTATGTACTTTATAGAAACAAGAATTGGTTTTGAAAAATACTGAAAAAATACTGAAAGTGCTATCTTCACAAAATTTTACTTGCGTACTCCTCTAGGCCTAATTAGACTTGCCTACTTTTTTTTTTAATCAAAACTCAGACTTTAAAAGATTGCGTGCCAGAAAGGGTTAAAGGTATACACTCATGCTGATTTAAAACAATACAGCTCATCTGTTATGATTCAAAAGGCAACACCCACTTTCTTCCTGTGCAAATGATCAGCACATTAAAAAACAGAAATCAAGTTGGAATGGTACATGCAAGATGAAAATTACTAGTGTAAAAAAGTCAAAGAAGAGTGCCAATAACAACAGAAGTGAGCAGAGGGGAAAAACTTTATTGGAATTATAAGTTTTCAACTCGCACAATTTCAAGATTAGAGTTATTTTCCGTAACACCGCAGTTTTGTAGCCAGCATCATTATTCCCCCAAACTCAGTCCGATGGAGTTCTAGGCTTATCTGTAATTCTAAGGTTTACAATCATCAAAATGCAAGATATTTGTCAAAATTGAAAGATGCCATAAAACATAAGTTATACAAATTCCTCCTGTGATGTTAACTTTCATCATTGCTGTCAACAATCTCTCACATGCAATGTGTTGTCATCCATGAACTGAGTTTCACTGCGAATTTAGAAAAGTACTCATTTGATAGACCCAAAGAAAATTTAAGCTATCAAGAAACTTTTGTGACTACAAACCAAGAAAGAATTAAGAAGTTTATTAGGGCTTTGCAATTATTATAGGGAATATATTCTACGTTATGCAAAGGTCGCATACCTATTCACAGAATTAATCAGAAAAGAAGTTCCTGAACGCCTTCCTTGAACTGTGATTCATGAAAACACATTTCTAGAATTGAAGAAATTGATAGAGCAGGCTACTGATCCATATACATACAAGCTTAAAAACCTCTTTATGATACAGTCAGATGCTTCCTTTTAATGGCATAAGTGCTTGTTTATCGCAACACAGAGAAGGAAATATGTGTCCTATCAGCTATGCAAGCCAAAAATTAACAAAACCTTAGCAGACACTGAAGTTATATGCCAGATCTGCACGGTTCCCACAAACATGCACTTTTGTCATTTATAACAGGCATTTACAATTACTTACATATGTATACACACACATACTTTAAATTAGATACCTCCTATTTTTGAATAAATATATATTTTGTGAACAAGAAGTGCTTCCTTGAATTACTGTCACCGATGGCTACAACAGAAATAACCGAAACCTTCTACATTGCCTTTGCATCAGCCTACAATAAATTAACCAAACAGCTATGAGAAATAAGATACAGCTACCTTGAAATCAATATCGGACCTGCATTCTAACACACTGCTTACAAATTTTCACATTACATTTGTAAAAAATTCAGTTGTTTAAGAAGTACAACTTCACAGAATGCAAATTTTTATATTCTCTGTTGTAAGGCAAAATGTCATATTTCTGCAGAAATGTAATGCTTTCTTTCTCATCAGCTAACAAACTCCTCAGTCTGTTACAGTTTATTATAAGGTAACCTAAAATACTCATTGCAAAAAGAAACACTAATCAGAAAAATGACA